TTTTGTTATAGGAAAATCGACCGTCAAATTATTCTGTAATTTAATAACATGACAGAGAGAGAGAGAGAGAGAGAGAGAGAGAGAGAAAGAGAGACGTGGGCGGAAATTTCTCCATTCTCCAATATTTATGGAAGGATTTCGTACATATTTAAAAGAAGTGAGAAATTGTAAGATCCGTTGATGGAGATGGCCAAGTAGATGGGCGACGAGATCCGCCTTTCGGATACAAGTTTCAGAATACAGCGAAATAAAAATAGGATTCCGGTCGATTAACCGAGTGCTTGTGGAATCGACTGTGAACGTGCACGGATCGGTCAGGTGGTCATTGTTGTGACACTCGTGACTACGGACAATGAATAAAACAGTGCGGAGCGCGGGAAGTCGCAGTCAACGAGCTTTCCGTACCATCTCGCCCTATTTCGCCCCTGCCGTTCTCTCCGGGTTCTGCCATTCCGGCTGATCACCAAGAGAGAGAGAGAGAGAGAGAGAGAGAGAGAGAGAGAGAGAGGAGAGAGAGAGCCTCGGTTTTCACGGACGGCGCTCGTCCGCTATCCGCTCGCCGTGGACGGAACTCGCGCGGCCGGCGGAAATACGGGATAAGAACACGTACACCGAGAGAGCACCGCCGTCCGTCGCCCCCGAGAATGCGGTACGGGGAAAGCGGTCAGAGATGAGAGGCGAAGTAAAACAAAAGGGAACTGAATCCACTGCCGGGAGAGCGAGCGCGGGCGCTACGCGCGCGCACGCTGAATTCGTGATCGAACCGGGCTTCCGGGAGAGCTCATGGCTGGATTGCGCGCGCGCATTGTATGTGTGTGTGTGTGCACACTGAGGCTTTAGGCTCGTTCTAATTCTACGATGCATCATTCGTTTTATTTATGAATTATGAAAAATAATGCGGAATGAAATGAATTTATGAATCATGAAAAGTAATACAGGGCTCTCGATCTAACAACTAATTTTAAAATAACATACTGGCTGTATGATGTATAAGATGTATAAGATAATTCATATTTTTTCTCAGAAAAATTCTTCCACTGAGGATTTGCTATTTTTAAATATTCCGACATGGGTATATCTCAATGCTAAAATTTCGAACTAAAACTAAAACTCAGAGAAACAGAAAATAAATAAAAGAAAGATTTTTCTATTCAGCTGCGCTTAAAAAAATGTTGATTTGCAAAAAAAATCCTTTATTTTCAAAAACAACAGTCATATCTTTCAAATCAGTCTTTTCCTTTTTTTTTAATTATTTCTTCTAAAAATTATGTCTACGATTAATTAAAGGATTAAAAGATTAAATGGATAATTTTTAAAACACGGTTGAACTGAAAATTAAAAATGCTCAAATCTACTTTTACCTAAATTATATTTCTTTCATTCCTATCATTCCTTTCATTCCTTGTAGCAAAAAAGAATTAGAAATCGAGAGAGCTCTGTATATCTGGAACTGTATTTCAAATTCTTCGAAATCCGCGTTCGCGCTGCGAAAAATTTCTCCTCTTCGATACCTTCCCGGCGCCTAATTCACTCGAGAGAAACCAGCGGATTCGCAGTTCCGAGCACGTTCGCGTTTGTTGGTCGAAACAAGTTATGCCGTCTGCGGATACAGCGGAGGTAGAATCGCCGCTGATATCTTCCGAAGTATTTGCGGAGGGATTTTTGATTTCCGGCACACAAACGCCCCCGAAACGTGCTACACGGCGCAAATAGGTGAGAGCGCTGAAATGTTGCGAGTAATAATGAGATTGCCTCAGAGTATCAATCGCGAGAGTTTGCCCTTGCCGCTCGTCCTGAATCACGGCGGAAGAAATCTCGTTATGTATATGTATCTTAGGTGTCGAGTATGATCGAGACCGATCGTCGACACATTACGCGGCAGAAAGATATCAGATTTCATCGCATCAATAAAATTTGTAATCACTCCTCACGCGTGTCGATTGCAGGAAAATTGCAAAGGACGATTACAGAATTATATCATTTTTAATACGATCCTTAATTACATTATTTTTTCCTTATTCGAAAAACGCGACTTCTCCACAGAGATACTTTCATCTTTCGTGATTACATACCTATTATTCTCTAATACATGTATTTACAGAGAAAAATATTAATTATCATAAACCAAGATCGCGTTTTTCACGTGTACAATTGTACAACTCCTATATTATACTCCTATATCTGGTCTCTTCCCCTCCCCCCTTTTTATATCAAATAATACTGAACAATTTAATAAATTATATTTCTGTTAATTTATTAAATGGATGAAAATTGCGAGTAATTCGCGTAGAAATAACGCAACTAGGGACGTGAAAAATGACACGCGTATTAATATCAATTACTGATCGATTTTGGATGGGTATCTGAGCGAAATGATGGAGCGATTCGCGGGTTAAATGCAGCACACTGACGTCATCTTATAGATACTGTATGCGGATTAAGTTCGGATTACAGGAACCTACAAAGCGTCTCTATAATCGAGATCGTAAAAGGCAATGATTGCCCGATATAACGTCGCTAGTGTCTATATCTAGTTGATCTACTATAACTATAGTGGTGAACGCGATCTATATTAGTTTAATATCGGTATCATGTATATAGGCCAGAACCCGACTAGATATTAAAAAGATATTAACAATATTAATTGAAATCTTGATAAAAGGCGAAAACAAAATAATTATTTTAATCGCGAATTTTTAATCAACGTTCATAATACGAGAGATAAGCAATAATGTCATTCTCGTTATATAACCAGATAAATGAAATACTGCATGATATTATTTAATTAATTTTAAAATATTACGTATTTAACTTACGGCACAAGATTCCATCGACATTTAATTGCGGGAGCATTCGGCCGCTGTAAAAAGCAAAATTTTTCAGATTAAATTTCATTTAAAATTTAAAATTTATTTTGAAGGGCTTTTTTCACTTCGGTTCATGAAAACAAAAATGAAATATTTTGTTTGTGAACAAGCAGAACGGAAACTAAATATTTCGCTTCTATACCAGAGGTTGACACAAGCGTTATATTTTTTTTTTTCAGTTTCCAAGTCCAACAATATGCCTAGAGATTTCAGTTGTATTTATCCACTCATATTTGCACTGGAGAAAACGACGAGTATACTTTAGTCTTGATAAGTTATATTAATACAAAATCAAAAAAGACATTTTATTATTAACTGTTAATAAGTTATATTGTATGTGTCATTTATTTCTATATTTTTATATGTCAGCAATAAAGAAAATAGGCTGGAAATGGATTCTATACGGTCAATATGTTTCCTTATTGTATGTTGCGTCATTGAGATATCACGCAAGTTTAAATCATCTTCGTTTCGTAACGCTAATCGAGCTGCTGCATGTAACTACTCAAACGGAGAGAGAAACGGGAGCGGAATAGTTGCTCTAAATATGACGATCGATCCGGTGTGCGCGCCTTTCGCGATTAACATATCCGAAAGCCGCGGCAAAGACACGCCAACGTGTCCCAAATAGACACGTTAGGTCTTTATACGGTCTCGCCTGTATATATATATATATATATATAT